GAAAGAATTTAGGTTGACAATTATGAGTCTGATTCACTTTTCAGAACTGGATGCTACATCCATAATTGATATGGAGTGTATGTGCATGACCGCCTGTAGATCTGCTGGATTATGCTTTTGTAAAAGAAACCAAACAAAGCCCTCTTAAAAAAGGAAAAAAATATGCTACAAGTGATCAAAAGTCCCCAGGCTACCTTTAGTTTTTCATGAGATGGGTTTAAACAGTATTCCAAGTAGATGATCAGCTAATGTGGCAGAGTTGAAAAATGCTTCCCATGACATGAGCCCAGCTTTTCTTCTTTACCAGCTTAGCACGCCTGAAATGATTCCTTTTCTTTTTTTTCCACATCTCACTCGCTTTCTGACATGTATGCTTTAATGATTTAAATCTCTAATTCCAACCAGCTTAATGTCTGAAATGTTGTCAATCATTGTGTTAAAAATTTCTACGACTATGTTGTTATTAGAGTGTTGGATTGAATCTTTTTCTTCTCTTTTCATGGCATTGGTACTCTGTCTCTGTGTATGTTTGTATGTCTTAAGATTTTTGAACGGATCCTGTTTATCTGGGCCATCCGGCATCCCGCTAGCGGCTACGTGCAAGGCATCAACGACCTGGTCACACCATTCTTCGTCGTTTTCGTCTTTGAATATATTGGTGAGTGGCAACCCCCCCCCCCCTTTTGTTTTTTTTAACTTTCACTTTAAAACTCCCTAATCTTTTGTGTGATATTCTTTTGAAGTAAGGATCACTCATCTCTTTCTGCTACCCCTCTGCTGAAAGTGCCACTCTCCACAGTGCAGAGTGGCACCTTTTGTAGCTGGCGAGACTCAGGGGTTACTCGCCGGTTCATCACCACAGGTCACAGGAAATCAACCCCGGGACCCTTGAGACCGTTTCTCTTTTCACAACTCTGTGTCCAAAGAGCTCCTCCTGCACCTGTGTGCCCTCTTCTCGCCCTTCTTTTCAATCCCTCTTTCTTTTCTGCTTTCATCCAGACACACACTTGGTTACAGTTTGTGTTTCGAATGTGCTTTTAAGCTCCATCTATCAAAGCATTCTGGTTAACACTTAGGAATTAGACTGTACAGTATGTGTGTGAGAGCATGACACGTGTAGGCGTGTATATGTGTGTGTGTGCACACCGCGCTGTTTTTCCCAGGGCCCTCCTGCTGTGAGCGTTTAAGTTGTGCCACATTTGTGTAGATGAATGCTTTATTTTCCTTTCACACTTAACTCTTCTGACAGTATAAACACTGCTTCAGATCCTCAACATGAGAAGGGGGAAAGCAGTTGCAAGAAATTTCATTGCCGGTATAGGTGCGATATAATTTTATTTTTTATTTATTGATTTATTTTTTAAATGTTTGAACTACTTGAAAATATGACCAGATGGAACTTCTTGCATATTATTTTTTGTAGCATTTTTTCCTTTACTGCACTGTATGTACACTGTGAATTTAACTCAAATCATCTTTATTTATATAGCACCAATTCATAACCAGAGTTGCATATAGGCGCATTATATTGTAAGGTAAAGACCCTGCAAGGATAAATCCTTGACAATTAGAGCCATTAGGACTTGGAGGACTTGGAGACATTGGGAAGGAAAAACTCCCTTTTAACAGGAAAAAGCCCCAGCAGGACCATCCTGTGGGTTTGGGTGAGGGGTAGGCAACAATTTAACAATCCATCCATTCGCTTCTGCTCATCCTTTTCAGGGTTGCGGGGGGTGCTGGAGCCTATCCCAGCTGTCATAGGGCGGGAGGCGGGGTACACCCTGGACAGGTCGCCAGTCTGTCACAGGGCTAACACACAGAGACAGACAACCATTCGCGCTCACATTCACTTGCAAATTCACACCTATGGGCAATTTGGATTATCCTCACAAACTGCATGTCTTTGGACTGTGGGAGGAAGCCGGAGTACCCGGGGGAGAGAAAGACCCCGGCCTGATGGTGGAATTGAACTCAGGACCTTCTTGCTGTGCGGCAACAGTGCTAACCACCGTGCAGCCCTTGCAATTTAACAAGTTATTGTTAAATAGCAAGAAAGTGTTGGCAGCTACAGTTGTAAAACAATACTTACTGATATGTTACAGGGAAGCTAACATAATATACAACAACAGTTTACTTCCCACCAGCACTGCAGACGTTCTTGTTGTTATTTTGATGGAAAGGGTCTTAAAATGTCCATCATATTGTAATTTTACCTGTCGTTTTAATCTTACATGATAATGAGGCAGGTTTAATAGCCTTATATTTTCAGAAAGAAAAAAACATTCTGAAAAGAGAATGTTTTTATATGTACGACGACCTTGTTAACATCCTAAGAAACACATTTTTTTTTTCCTGCAGTTTCAGCAGAGACACTAAAAGACTGCAATGATTATGCCTAAACAGGCAAATTCGAACTAAGTGGAATTAAGCTTGGTGCTTGCCTGAGCGTAATGAAATGCATCAAGGGAGGTTGCTGCAGAGGTGATTTTTTTTTTTTCCTGTTTTCCATCTCTTCTTCAGACGGAGAACTTTCCATATCCGATTAGATTTTACTCTGAAGGCTGAACCCTGCTCCTATAGTGGATACTAAAATTGCTTCCTTTCAGCTGTAGTTAGGGGGACATTTCTCCCCAGGAAGAGTGCTCAAAAATCTCTTTAATTTGGATTTTCCGATCCTGAATGCACTTCCTTTGCTGAGAGGAAATCCTGCAGCATGCACTCCCTCTGGACGAGAGAGAAGCTCCACATATTACCTTGTAGTGGTCACAGATTTACTGTGTTTTAAAAGTATTTGGTTAACCTGAAATCTGCTATAGACAGCATAATTTACAGTTTACAGTATAAGATCTTTGATATCACCATCATGGAGGGTTCCTTTCATCAAGTGAGCTCCTCCTTGGGTTGCAGAAATACGTTGCTCGTACCTTCTTTATGTTGAATGTGGTGATGTTAAATGAATCGATTAGAGTTGCAACATGATTTTTGTGAGATTAATTATGAGTGAATTCAAGCAAATCCATCTACATTTAGAGCATTTGACAGTATTCACGAGGAATGATGCTTTATTTTACATTTCCCATTCATTTTCTGCAATTTACCAACCAACCACTTTATTAGATAAAGCTCGCCATTTCTGGCTTGCACCCCTGCTCGAAACATTTTGGGTCCATATTGGCATGACAGCATCACATAGTTGCTGCAGATTTGCTGGCTGCACATCTCTGATGCAAATCTGCTATGCCACCACATCCCAAAGATGTTCTGTTGGATTGAGATCTGGTGACTGAGGAGACCACTTGAGTACAGTGAACTCATTGTAATGATCAAGAAAGCAGTTTGAGATCATTTGAGCTTTTTGACATGGTGTTTTATCCTTTTGGCAGCAGCCATTAGATGATGGGTACACTGTGTTCATAAAGGGATGCACATGATCGTCACTCAGTACTCAGGCTAGACTAAGCTCTGTGGCGTTGAGAGCTGGGACTAAGGGATCTACAATGTGCCAATGAAATATGACTATCAGCCTGAACCATTAATGCAATGCATGATTGATCCATGCTTTCATGTTGTTTACATCAAATATTGTCGCTACCATCTGAATTTTGCAGGAGAAAGCAAGAATCATTAGGATAGAAGCATTTTTCCAATCATTTGTTGTCAAATTTTGGTGAGCCTACATGAACTGTAATCCTCAGCCTGTGGTGTGGTCTTCTGTGTTGTGCATGCAGAGATGCTCACTGTTGCCTTCGTGTCAGTTTAAAGCAATCTGGCCATTGTCCTCTGACATGGACAAGGCCCGAAGAATTGCTGCTCGCTCTCTTTGTTGGAACATTCTCTGTATAAATCCAATTGATGATTCTTTGGGAAAATCCCTTTAGATAATCAGTTTCTGAACGGCATGGCTGTTGGTGCCAGGTGGTTTGGTGTGAGTATTTCAAAATTACTTAAGTCACCTTTCTTCCTCATTCTGCAGCTCTTTTTATTCAAGCTGAACATTCTGAATTTAAAACAGATGTTTTGCATACACATCAGGTGAACAGAACATGGGAGAGGAAAGAAAAAAAGAAAAGAGGCCAAGCCACCTTCAACCACCTGCTGAGAGTTTTGAGGTTTTTTTTTCTTTATTGAGAAACGTGACCAATTTTTAAAAAACATTTTACCTCCTTTTCTTTTGTGTTCTTGTTTGTTTTACATTTATAATAAGCTCTACGTACTAGTTTGTCGAGAGACTCCTACAAAGAGAAATCCTTCCCCTTATGTGTGCAGTTCTTGCTGCTTCCTAGAATCCATACATCCCACAAAAATAAGTTAGTTTAAGTTCTCTGTGCTATGTTTTGGCTCATCTTTGAAGCTATGCAACATAGAGCTACTGTTGAAACCACAGTAAGTCACACACCATGCACACTGTGACCCTGCTGGGAGCCTTAAGAGGTTGGACCCAATTGCTTCTGTGTACTACTTTGGACACAACACTACACACAGCAAATTTACTGTCATTTTAAAATCTGCTAGAAGCACCATTTTTAACAAATGTAACAACAATATAACAACTTCCAGTGCTGGAGTGCGTCTGGTGCTTTTACTACAACCTCCAAAATGACACGGATGTTGAAGTCACATATCTATAAAGCATAAGCGTCATTAAGATAAAGCTTTATTGCTATATTGAAGCTGAAAACAGTTGAGATATCTCACAAATAAGAATTTTTTTAGAAGAACTCACTATGAAACTGCATCTACATATTTGCCATCCCTTCTTACGGCTTGTGCCAATGATGTTATGCAAATGAGCTACTTTCTTTGACGTAGCCTCTCTTCTCTTTTACTTTTTCCACTGTTCTTTATAAAGTTTTTCACCTGTTTTTTGTTTGTTTCCTCTACCTTCTCTTTTGCTGTCATTTTCTTCTTCTTTATTCCTCTATCCCTACTTCTTTCTGCATGTTTTTCCTCTCTCCTCTTCTCTTTGGGCAATTCAGACTGTTGTCAGATCTTCAAAGCATCACCCCATGCTTTGTTCCTGTGTATCTCCATGCGCTGATGAGCCTTGAATAACATACACAGCCAACAAACCTTCAAACGTGCCTGGCTGGCATCTTACATGATGGGTTGATGCGCTGTGTTGTTGTTGTTAGGTGCTCTTGTTTTCTGACGCAGAGAGAGGGAGAGGGATAGACAAAGAAGAGAGAGGTTTGGCTCTTTCATGCAGTGGGCCTAATTTTGCTCCTTTGTGAAGGGGTAGAAAGTGAGATTCTCTCATGCTGTCTGTGCTCTTGCACTCTCTGGCTGTCGTCTCCTTTTGCCATCTCTTCTTCTGTTTTCTTTTATGCTGCTTTACCCCTTCCCCTCTCTCTCTCTCTCTCTCTCTCTCCGTCCTTTCCATGTAATTGAATTCATGAATTCATGCTGAAGGCAGAAATGTCCTTCTCTTAAGTTGTAATTATTTTGTATTATTTATTATTAACAATATTTTATGTACAAATAATTAATTGACATTTATATGAACTTATAAGGAAAGCTTGCTTTTTCTTAAAAATTAGAGCAAATACACATTTAATCTTCAAGAAACGTTGGCTTTTGTGTTGTTTCCTGTGGACTTTTTCAGTTAACTAATCTCTAGAAAACATCCATTCGCTTCCGCTTATCCTTTTCAGGGTCGCG